TGGTAAAACAGATGTAATTTATGTTCTCTCCTGCCAGAAAAATCTATAGGTTGGACGTGTCAGTTTCACGTGAAACCACAAGCTGTCCTAATGACTGCAGTGCTTGTGACTAGGAGTTTGACAAATCCACATGTAAACTAGCATTTTTCCCCACTGGTTTGCAAGAATGGATGTGTGTCAGCAAAAGAAAGAACCAGAAATCAGTTATGGTAACTAGAAGATGAGTGGGAGAGATTGCATGAGAACTTCATGTTCCATTAAAAAGCAACTGACAGCTGCAGGGAGGATTTGAAACAACTCTTTGTGAATGTCATATTTTCAGACTGTTAGGAAAGTTTCTCCTAAATCCTTTATCACAAAAGACATTTACAGAAACATAAGATTTTTGTTTCTAAGGTTCATCTTGTGTCACAGTTTATTTCTCACTTGCTGTTATAATCGTCTGTTGGTGACATTATAAATCTTCACAGCAGCTAACTGTGGTGTCCAAAAGAGACAATTATGACTCCAGCTGGGGAATTAGCAGCAGAAGCTGATGAACTCTTTTAAAAAAATCTTGTTTTCATGTGAATGTGTTAAACTAAGTAACTAAAGAAAAGAAAAAACTGGAATGGGAGATAAAAAAAAGTGTATAGCATACATAGGCATAGTCTCTGTCCCCTTCCTAGGGGGTGGACCACATAGCAGATAGGGACCAGCTTTTTTCCTGTAGCTCAAGAAGTATAGGCCTGTGTTTCTAGTGTTAAAAGTATGGGCTTCAGTCCCTTCTGGTGACTCCAGGTGAAGGTTATTATGTAAACACACACTGATTATATAGAAGTAGAACTGTGTCCAAGATATTTTAGTTTTCCATGATGCAATAGCAGGTCTTTGTAACCAGCATACTTTCTTGCCTTTTTATTTTGCACTTCAACTATATTATGCATCTTTTTAAAGAAGTTAAAGTCTGTTTAGTGTATGTGAAAGGTGCCATATTGAAAACCCTGAGGGCTGAAATCTATTATTTATCCACAGAGCAGGTATGACAAAGGTAGCAACAGTGCAAGTTCTCTCCTTCTAGCCAATTTCAACGGGCATCAGCCCTAACCTGGCGAGACCACATTTGGGATAAGAGGGCACTTCAGGCTCCAGGTTAATCCTGTGAAGTTCTGCACACTTCCTGGGATCGCCTCATAAAATCAGTCAGTAGTACTTGATCTTTCTGCTGAAATTGGTAACAAATACCACTAAGAATGGCCAATTAATGCCCTTTGTGTGGTGGACATTAGTCTGCTAGGAACCAGACCAAGACCCACCAGCTCATTGATACAAGAGGCTTTTAACTGCTCTATACTGTGTAAGAAAATCAGCAGCACCAAGAATAGCACCCAACCATGTAGCTGAAAGCATGCAAAAAGGGGCAGAAAACATCATAAAATTCACCTCTCCCAATTATCATAACAAAAGTGGTGACAGGATCATAATACTTAAACATGCATAACAATGTAGTTAGTGAAAGATTTAAGGCTTTTGATAAGTAATATAGGGTTACCATACGTCCGGATTTCCCTGGACATGTCCGGCTTTTGGGTCTTTAAATAGCCGTCCAGAGGGGATTTTGTAAAAAACTAAAAATGTCCGGGATATCCCCCCGGACAGCTATTTAAAGACCCAAAAGTGGCTGACAGGGCAGCTGCGCTAGCGGAAAGCGGTACCGGGAGCAGCATAGAGCGGCCGCGAGAGGTGGGTGCGGGTGGCCCGGCTCCCTCTGCCTGGGGCTTCCCTCTGCAGCACTGCCCACCGCGGGGCTGGGGCTCTCCCGGGGCTCTGCCCTGCATGAGCCCAGCACCCTCGGGGCTGCTCCTGCCTCCCCGGGCTGGCCCCAGATCC